CACACACACACACACACACACAGAGAGAGAGAGAGAGAGAGAGAGAGAGAGAGAGAGAGAGAGAGAGAGAGAGAGAGAGAGAGAGAGAGAGGTCATAATCTGGTGCACATACAATTTCCCCTCTCCTGTTTGTATGCTTTGATCAATGTACTGAATAAAGAGATGCATTTCTTTGTGCAAGGAATATGAGTGAGAACGATATACAGATATCCAAGTTGCGAAATCACAGAGATGTCGTGTACACGCAGAGAGCACAAATGCACCGAGATTCCATCCAAATAAGAGCAATACAATGAACTCATGAGCCAATGTTCAAGCCCTCAGGTCACACCAACACAGTATCCAATGTTGCTCCTCTCTGTTTGGCGCCCAACGCCCAGCCTACACTACTTGCCTATCCTTCTACAACCACATTCACCCAACAGGCTCACTTCGACTTTGAAGACCAATGTACATGACGTCAACACCATAGCCGACCTCCCTCATGCACCAGGTACGTATCTCGTGTCCCCTCATCAGACCCTGACCACCCACACTCGCCTCCTTCCTGAAGACCACCGATCGCCCTCTTACGCCCTAAGCGCCCTGCAGCCCGGCTATGGCTGCTCGCGCTCTGCTGCCCTGCAGCGCCCCTCTCACCTCTCAGGCGTCCGCATGCGCCCTGGCCACTAGTGCAGCATGCAGCGTCTCGCGCAGCAACACAGCAGCGTGACTGTATTGCCTGCGTGGGCCAAAATGCCTGGCTCTGGCTGCCTCCTTCCCTATATGGAAGTAGCAGCCTCTGTTTGGCTGCGTGTGGTGTGGCCGGGAAGGCCCTAGTGCCTGTGCCCAGGCCCAGCTGTGCAGTTGAGGGCCAGGGCCCTTTACAGTTGGTCACGGCCAATATTTCCAGACTTGAGCCATTTGCTGCATTTGAACAGGACCTGGGGTATGTACGTCGACAATGCTGCTTTTCCGTAGGCAGTAGCCAATTTGTGATGTATCTGCCTTGCATTGTGTATGTGTGCCCAGGCGGAAGTACCAAGGCCTGGGCTCACACTTCCACTCAACCAACTGGCGTGCTGCAACTGCCTGAGTACCCACTTATGGAAAATGTCAAATTTTGGCCTCTGGTGAATATTCAGGCCCGCCTTCACTTAGGGCGGACACGGGGTTTGATGAGGGCCGCAGCCCAGAACATGTGCACGTCTGATAAGGGCCCTGCGAGGGCTCATGCCTCACATTTGTGTTTGATTTCAACTCTGCAATGTTCCCAACTGCTACTGTAATGACCTGCAAAATCACAGACAGAAGTCTGCTGCTTTCTGAGTTTTGCTGCTGGAATGTGTGCCTTGATGAGATTTCCGCTTTCTGCTGAGGTTTCTAAGTCTGTGTGAGTGCGTGCTTGCTGGTTCCCGTGTGCCTGTCTGAGCGCATGACTGCTTGAGTGTGTGTGTGACTCGCCAGGGTACTTGTACGCGGGTGGCACTCAGGGCCAGTACTTACCTGTGGCGGTGACTTTGAGGGCTGCAGCAGGGAAAACACTCAATTAGCAGTAGGCTAGAGAAGCAGTAGCGTAGACCTGCGTAGCTTAGGGAGTCCTTGAGTAGCGGTAGGCCGACAGAAAGAGACAAAAACTTGGAACCTTCAGAGGCCAAGTGAATTTTAGTTCTCCGGTAGGCCTATTTCTAGGCGTACCAGTCCAGTAGTCTGAGCCTAGGGCCTGTAGCGGGTGATATCAGACCTGCAATGATGTTTTCCTCCGAATGGGAGAAGGTACCGGTGGCTTGGGAGGCCGTGTGGCCTGGAAGTCACTGCTCAAGAGGCAAGTCACCCGGTATGTCTTCAGGAAGAGTGCTAGCTCTTCCTCATTTTGCGGTGTGCAAGTTTGGGTGTCACGCTGCTGCAGAGCTGGGAGGTAGAGCACTGGTGTAGAGCACTGGCGTAGAGCGCTGGCAGAGAGGAGAGTCGACCCTCCACCTTCGGCTATGGTGTAGAGGACCAGGTAGGAGGACGAAGAGGGGGTGTGGAGGCGAGTGGCAGAGGTACTTACCTGGCTGTAATGGACGGCATCATCGTGTCCTTGGTTGGTGCCGCACCTGGAAGGTCCCACTGGGGGTGCACTGCATCAAGTAGGCTTCAGGGCAGAGTTAGGCATGGTGGTCTGAGCAGTAGGGGTCATATACCTGCTTTTGCATTGTCTTTTGAACATCAGGGCAGGGCTCCAGTAGTCCGCTATAGCCACCACCAAGAGAAGGTGGAAGTAGACATAGGTCATGGCTATGGTGGACCTCACATTATGTACTGCTGGCAGTCAGGAGGAGATTCGGACATTGGTTCTGGTTCAGTCATTCATTGTTATTATTATTATGTATGCAATGAAGAGGTTGGGGGAGATAAGGAGGTTAGCGTGTGTTGGCGAGAGGAGGGGGATTTGTCGTTGGTCTTTTGCTGGTGTACATCTTCTTTCTTTCGTATTTCTTCGTCGTCCTGTCTCTTCCTCTTTCCAAGTTCTTTCATTTCCTTTGCAATTGAATGGCATGGTCTTTCCTTTTGTTGTTGCACTTAGCCAGGATCATAATACTACTGACACATGCTGTAAAGTTATTCACATACATCCTAAAAACAACTCCCTCCATCCCGCAATGATGAATTCACTTTCCCTACTCTTGTGATGCGAGTGAAGCCACACTGGTCCATCTCTCTTCTTCGTTTGCTCTAGTCGCTCTCATGTGCTCCAGAGTTTCAGCCTTGAAATGAAAAACGAGCACAGCACGTCATGGCCTTGTGTCAGCAGCTAATAGACCATGACGAGGAACTGCTTTTGGGTGTAGAACGGCAACCAATTTTAAGCTCTTGTCTATGACATGACAACCTATCCATGGTTTCTGATCAGAGGACAACAGAATATCCATTAAATTATTTATTGAATGGGAGTTGCCGGCCATGGTGTGTGACATATGGATTTCGAACCAAGCAGTGACACAAACAAAGTTGATCTCAGGAGAGGGCCTTGGTTGCAAACGGACCGACCTGGAAGGCAGACACATAATTTGTCGATAGCACAGAACGTTGAAGTGATGGAGGGGATTTGGAGTTTAAGATTGCTCGTTAGCCTCAAATGACGCTGACGCGCAATGGGTGAAGTGTGCCTCTCAGCGAAAGAGAGACATTCTGAATCCCAAAATCTGACAAGAAAACAAATCAGAGCGCAGTATTCGGCCTCAAAGGTGAGACCTGGCTGACAGCACACAATCTGCTGCAAGATGATTAAATATGATCTGTTCACCTTTCCATGCTGCTGGTTGTCACTGCTATGTAGTACTTTCCCGTTGACGTGTAATGGCTTACAACTCTCACATCTTCAAGTGCTTCCTTTTCACCTCCTGCATCAGCAGCATTTCTATGGCTCACATCTGTAGCAGCCTGTAGTATGTTGCTGTACCTTTCTGAACAGTTTTGGGGGCAAGTATAAGGAAATTGTAGAGGCAAGCAAGGCTTGTGTTTTACAGTTTCTGGAACTTTCCTAATCTGTTGTGTGGTCATGGTGCACGTTGCACAGCTTCAGTGAGTTTTACCGAGACTTTGCGGGACAAGATGTTTCGGCCAACATTGTCCACCTTGATTGGTGAGAATAGAAAGTGAGTCCTTTTTCAATGTGTTTTTCCTGTCTCCCTCGTGTTGCCCATAAATCTCCTCATTCCTCTGAATGTGGCTCATTGATTTCTTATTGTTGCCATGCTGAATGCCTGTGCTCCTGTTGTCAGTTCCTCTCTCACGTCATATTTAGTTGGAAGTGTACTTTGCAGTGCCCAGGGAAGAATATCAATGACCCTTTGTTATATACTATCATAAGATCTGTGTATGATCAGTTCTGCTCAGCAGATTTTTCAAATGTTATGCTCATCTTTTCTGATCGTGATGCTCCAGATCCGGACATCCAACTGGATTATTTGGCCCGCAATCGTCCTGAAATGTGCACTTAATTGAAAGAGGAAGAAAACACGGAAAACATTCCAGCACAAGTACATGTTTTGTTGTGTCATAATAGCATGTCTGGTTTCAAGGGTTTCTGAATGACTATTGAGAGGTCTATTGAGAGGGTTTAGCGGGACCTAGATGAGGTTACCTAAGGCATAAGCTTGCCCAAAGCTAAGTCAGGCACTTAACGGTATACATGGTAAGAGCATACCGCTTTGGGCCTGGGCTGGTAGTGTCCTGTGAAGGCCTCTATGAAAAGGCCCAGTTGGACAGTTGGGAGAGTCAGAAGGCAGCTTCGCACAAATAGGCACGGCGGAACTGGTGTTAATTAACAATTTAATCAGGGATGCATACCTGCCAACGGCCGACCCCGACCGCCTTTGCAGCCGACCAGTAGGGCCAACCAGTTGGCGGTCGGCGGACCAGTCAGAAAACAGCCATCCACTGATTTTTTTGCAAATCTGAATTGGGGGCTGTACTGCGCTTGCTGAGTACAGCCCAAATCCACTGAGAAACTTTT